CTGGAAGGCATCACTCTCCCTGTGGAGTGTATATGGTGGGGAATAGGATAGGAGGATGGTCAGGGTGCATGGGAGAGAGGGAGAGGGAACTGGGATCGATATATAAAATAAAAAAATAAATAATAATAAAAAACAAAATAAAATAAGTTCAATGGTCTAAATAAATACACTTTTTGTTTTAAATCATAAATGGCTCTATGTCAATCTTGCGTGTTTGTTATTCATGAAAGTGTGTAGGAAGTACCCATGAGGACATTTGGAGGATAATTCAGCAAGATTGTGCTTTTTGACTTTGGGTTTAGCTCATATGTTTTGTCTTTCACCTCATGAATATACAGCATGTTGAACTTCATTCTTAGACCAGCACTTACTTTGATTTTATTTTTTCAGGCTCCAGATGCATCAATTTCATAGTCCCAAAAAAGTGATTGCCAGTAAGAGCCAAAATAAAACTCAGAAAGCCTTTTGTTATTGCTGCAAAGATTGCAACATTGTTTTATTTCATATTCTTATTAGATTTTCTAAAGCCTAGAAAAAAAATCTTTCAACTTCCAGGCTACCTAAGTCAAGGTCAGAGAGGTTTTAGAGACTTTTTTTGCTTATATCAGCAGTTTTAAATTGCCAAATTCATCAACAGGAAAAAAAAAAAAAAAAACCAACTTTCCATTTCCTTTTTTTCACATGTTGTAGAGTTTAATATATGCTATCTACAGGGCTGTCATACTTCCTATAAGAAATCCTTTGATTCTTCATGCCAAACTGTCAGTTGGTGATTCCCAACTGCAACTCTTGGCTTACAATCTTTAAAATATCACTTGATCATAGAGTTCTATTTTAACTCACTACCGTCATTCCTCATGAAAATTTTAAATGAAATATTGACAGTTTTCATAATCATTTAGAATATATGCACCATCTGCAGTTCTTCATATTTTTGTTTGAAATAAATTCAAACATAGGGATACATATTGTTGCAGATAATTCTGATGAGTATGAGCTTTCCCTGACAACCTATTAATTTTGAAAGATTTTGCTCAATCCTATGATATACTGTCATAGAAGAAATGGGAATTTCAATTCACTTGTGCTGAAATAAAGCATTATCATATTCATATACTCAATTTATTCATAAATGTCACCCATGTGAGCCTCCAGTTGGGTGATTAAAATTAGTTCCTATGCAATGTCACTTCTCTGAAACTGAATATGGATTTTAATTATTTGCTTTAGTTTTTTAAGATAATTATACAGAAAAAAACTACCATATATTACTTGTTAATGAAACTAAAAGGTAGATATCATAAAAGCAAGGAATGTTTTAGAAATTGTAAATTTCTAGAGTTTTGGAAAATGATTAGGGAGATGTACAACAAAGGATAAATTGTTAGAAATTAATTAAGTTCAAGTGAATATAAAATGGTCACTATGTTATTGAAAAAAGTAATGAAAATTTATATTCTCACACTGTTGTGAAACATCTGAATGTACCAAGTTCATAGGATTAATATTCTTCATAGTAAGTATCATGATATACATAGTAAGCAAATCAAATTTTTATTTAAGAATGGTCATTGAGATGGCTTAGTGTGTAAAGGCACTTGCTAAACAAGCTTGGTGCTCTGAATTAACCCCCAGAATCATGTAAATGTAGAAGGAAAAACTGAGTCCACAAAACTGTTTTTCTACACTTGTGAACAATAGCATGTACACGCACACATATATCATATACCTGAAAATAATAATAATGATAATAAATTATAAGCAGATATATAAGTAGATAAAATGAAATAAAAGACAGTTTTGTAAGCTTTGATAAAGGTTTTTCAATAGATCATAAGGTTTATCGGGTATAATTATGAATCTTAAACAATTAAAGGATATTTTAATATGATATGGTCTATGTTCATTTTCTAACATATTAAGTTCAATAATAGTTTGTATTTTGAAATAAAAATACAGTTACACCATATCTGGCTATGTGATATTTTGTTTGTGTTCTGACAATTAAAGCTTGCCTAAAGATCAAGGTCAGGCAGTGGTAGTTCACACTTTTAATCCCAGTATGCAGAGGTGCAAACAGGAAGTGATAAGGTAGAGCAGACACAGGTTATCCGCCTTGTGGTTGAAGGGATGGAGACAGGTAGGAAGCAACTGGTAATTCCTGCTGGTTCTCTTATCATCCAGGATTTTACCCCTATATTTGACTCCTAATATTTTATTGATTGTGATAAATTACTTTTAAGCCTTAATTTCCCTTCTTTTCCTCACTTCAATTCATCCCATGTAATATACTTTACTTTCTCTCAAACTTGTAGCTACCTTTTTTAATTGACATTTTACACACACACACACACACACACACACACACACACACAGAGACACTGATTTAATATTTATGAAAAATTTTTGTCACTTTATTTTATGAATATGTGTTTGTGAATATGTGTTCATATGCCTAAGTGTATGTATGAGCATTACATACATGCACATCAGGAGAGTTACTGATGAGACACCATATGGGCACTGTGAACAAAACCCAAGTATTTTAATCTATTTTTGTATTACCACAATTTATTTATCTCAAAATCTCAGCGGCAATCAGTTGGATTGTTTACTTTATGATTTATTCATATATTTAAATCATGTAAATTGTTAAAAATAAGCATGTGTATGTATATGTAGTTATAGGTATTTTATTCTCACACAAATATATGAGAACCTCACTAAATTTATGATACTTATCCACCTCCTCTCCAGGACATTTTTGACCATTTTTATTAATTTAATTAGTTCATACATATATCTAGTATATTCTTCTCTTCCCAGCTTCTCATACATATCCCCCTTTCTTCTCCCTACTAGTCTCATTTCAAAATTCATATCATTGGTTTTGCTTGGGGGCCATTTAGTTTAACAGGACCATCTAAATGATTATTGTGTTAGAATTATCTGTTGCAATCTGATGGAATCAGCCATGGATGTAACATGATTAATAAAACCCAGAAACAGATACTGGGGTTCAAGGTGAACATCAGAAAAGCAAAGCCATGGATGTAACATGATTAATAAAACCCAGAAACAGAAACTGGGGTTCAAGGTGAACACCAGAAAAGCAAAGATACCAGCTACTAGCTCTTACCTCTCCCTCGGGCTGAAATGACTGTCCTGGCTTCAGCCTGCCTGGAAAATAAATCTCTGAGACTGAATGCTGAATGCTCCACTCCTATCTTATATACATTTCTAGAGCTGGGATTAAAGATGTGGGATCCTAAGTGCTGAGATATCCTTTGTATAAGCTGTTTCTCTATAGACTGATTCATTCTAATGTAACCCTGGGTGGCCTTGAACTCACAGCGGCCCATCTGTCTTTGTCTCCTGAGTCCTGGGATTAAATTGTGTGCCATCATTGCCCAGGTTCTATAGCTAACTACTGTGACTAGTGGAATTAAAGGTGTGAATCACCATTGCCTGGATCTATGGCTGTGGCTAGATTTGCATTTTGATTTCCAGTGGCTTTATTAAATCATAAACAATATTTTGCCATACATGGTTGTACAATTGAAGATGATTCTCACCTCCATAAATTCACTAGCAGCAATAGTTCAGCTTTGGTATAGGAATTGCTGAGCCACCCTGCCACCCATATCTACCTGTTTACCTGTTAATGAGCACATTACTATGAAGAACTAGTGTAAGAATTCCTGGTTTCTATGACGTTAAGAAGATTGCGTCTTGCAATCTTTTCCCCTATATTCCAGCCCTTATTTTCTTACCTCCCATCATACTCAATATTCCTTCAGCCTCATCAGCGATGGTACAAATGTCTTATTTACAGCTGATCACTCATCCATCCATCACCACAGTTTATTCTCAATGCTTTCAATATCCATGATTCCCTTAATCCCTGTCATTCACTGAGAAAAGATTGTTCTGATTGAGGCTTATGGTAACTTTTGAAGGTGACTATAAACATAAATAGTTAGAAGACATTTTGATGCTGTCTCAATTTAGCCAAATAACTGTAGTAACTTTATGGCTGAAGCCGATATCCTCCAAGTCATGTGATTTTGATAAGTTTATCATCCCAAAACTTTTAGAGGAGCAGGCCTCACTGTCAATGCCATAGTGTTGGTTACATGTATAACTGTCACACCCCTGTTTAACAGGATGGTTTGTTAGGTTCACAGGTAGGGAAGACTACTGATGACTTTTCTTTCCCAGTATCCTGTATAGTACATTCTGTCAATGAGTGAAATCCCATCTTGTATATAAACCACATTCTCATTATCCAATCATTGATTGAATGGATGTAGGCTAATTCCATTTCTTTTCTACTGTAAATAGAGTGGAAATAAACATGGAGTGGTAGTAGGACTTCAAATATAGAACTATTCCTGTTCTCTTCAAGTGCATTCTAATGTTGATTAATGGTTGTGAGGAGGGATTTTTGTTGTTCCTTGAACTTTTTTGAGAATTGTTCTTTTGAAATCTCTGTTTTTTGTTTTAAGTGTTATACCTGGAGACAATTACTGTGGGTTTGGTGAGTTTTGTGGAACAGATGTATATAGTTCCTACCATGGAGAACTGAGAAAAATCCATCTCTTGCTATGACAGCCTTATTCTTTGGGTACTAAGAACATAGAAAGGATCCCAGACTGAGCTAAGTAGGGATTCAAGGCTGAGCAAGGGATGGATATATTCGAGGGATTTTGGTTAAAGAGAATGAAGAGGGTACTAATTACATACTGAGCACATGGCCTCAGTACCGGGGGAGAGTCTTAGGGCTTAGTAAGAACAGAAACAGGAAATGGTCTCAGCGCTTTGCAAACTGTTCATGGGTTAGGTACTTGGAAAGAGTCGGATTTATATTCTTTTTTTTTTTTTTAACAGATCTTGCCTCAAGTTTATTTGTAAAAACAGCATAAGGCACAGGTCATCTGCAGATAGTGTGTAGATGTGTCACACCAGTCCGTCTGTCTTCACAGTGGCAGAAACCATTTCTATGGGGCCTTGACGCCTTTGGGAGCCTGAGCTGGATCTGCAACCTGGGCCTTAGATGGAGCCGAGGCCTCTGCCTTGGTTTGAACCTTGGGTTTTGGTTGGCAGAGCCTATGACCCTTGGCCATGTAGTTTCTAATATTCTTCCCAAGCTTGCGGTGAGCGATGAAAGCCAGACGGCTGAGTTTGCAGCCAAGACCCTTTGGCATCTTGGGTTTTACTACCTTGGGCTTAACAAGAGCCTTGATGGCCTCTGCGTGTGCACTCAGTGCCTTCGCATTGTTTGCCTTCATGTTCTTCAGGTCTTTCTTGTTGTGTTTCTTGGCAAAGCGCATGTTCCTCAGGAACTTGGGGTCAACCCCCTTAAGAGATTCGTATCTTTGTGATCGAGGTTTCTTGATGCCATTTCTGTGCCATTTTCGGGACTGGTTGTGTGTGGTGTGGTTCTTGGACTTGGCTATGTCTGAACAGTATCCGGAAAAGAAAGAGCCGGATTTATATTCTTAATGATAATTTGCATGAAAAATCCTAAGTAATGTTCTATTGAAATATTTTAATAGCTTGTAAAACCTATTATTAATTATTTGGTTCATGAAAGAATATGTTAAGCTAAATTATTCCATAATTTGCTTTGGATGAAATTATAAAGTGAAATGGAATTTCCAGCATCCTGATGACAGTTCAAAACTTTCTGGAATTCCCCTTCCAAGGTACCCAACACCCTTATATATGTAAGCAAAACACCAGTGCACACAAAACAACAACAAAAATAAAACCTAGGAACACATCAAACTGTAACAAAATAAAAGCATGCATACACACATTTTAAAAGGAAAGAAAAACAAACAAACAAAACAAAAACAAAAACAAGCAAAACCTGTAGAGTTCATTATTTGTTGACAACCTACTCCTGAACATGAGGCCTGTCCTGGAGGAGCTGGTAAACCCAATGTCATTCCTTAGAGAAAACTTATTTTCATTATCTCAGCAGGTCCAAATGACAGTTCTGTTTTCATTATTATAAAAAGCGGCTAGGTTACATTCATTCTTTCTTTTTTCTTTCATTCATTCTTTAAATTAACAAACTAAAATATAATAAGGAAAAACAAAAAATAATCATATCAAAAACAGATAAGGCAGATCAACAGATAAAAGAACCCAAACTAGACCAAAGAGTCAGAAACCCACTCATTCTAATGCTCATGAATCCTGCAATAAAACATAAAAACGATGTTATAATATAAACACATGCAGATGATTGTGGGCCTAAGCATGCAGCTTGATTCTCTGTTCACATGAACTCTATCCACATTGGTTTAGATGGCCTTGTTTTCTTGGTGTACTCAATTCCCTCCGGCTCTTACATATTTTCTGCCTACTCTTCTACAGGGTTGAGTTCTGGGTAGAGGTGTTTGATGGAAACATCCTATTTCTAGCTGATTGGTTTAAGTTCTCTTTTTAATGCCTGACTGTGGATATTAAATTTTCTCTTTGCAGGAGGAAGATTCTCTGATCATGGTTGAACAAGACACTGATCTATGAGTATACAGAGTATCATTTATCATTAGGAGTCATTTTAATTTTTCTTTCTTTTTTATTTATTTTTTTGTTGTTGTTTGGAGGGCAGCACTAATATTTTGCTTTACTATAGGTCACTGGATCAGTGTTTGGTATTGGTTCTAGCTCATGGAGTGAGCATTAAGTCAGATCAAGTTTTGATTGGTTAAGTCCACAAGTGCCACAAATGCCACCATTGTCCTATAGTTCACTATTGTAGATAAAGGATTTATGACTGCCTTTGTGTTTACATTTCCATTTGATAGCCAGCAGGGTACTTTTATATAATAAATACTCTAGAAGTTAGGGGATAATACTCTATGTTATAGTGAGATACTCACTATGTCTGCTTCTGTGGCACTGATCACGACCATTGGGGGTAGAGCCAGGGGCAGAAGTGACTTGTGGAACTAGGTCTTCAATTTGATTCCATTGATTCATGTGTCTGGTTTTTTTTTTTTTTTTGTTTTGTTTTTTCAGATACTTTTTATTTATTTATTTTTCTTATTTTACATATTGTTCCCAGTTCCCTTTCCCTCCCTCCATCTCTTCTATCATTCCATGCCTTCTGACCACCCTCCCATCCCACCCCCACTACTCCAGGTTAGAGTGATGCCTTCCTCGAGGGGTCATCTAAATCTGTCAAGTCATTTGGAGTAGGAAGTGGGCCCTCCCTCCTGTCTCTAGGTTAAGGGAGTGTCCCTCCATGGGGAATATGCTCCCAAAGTCCTTTTGTGCACCAGGAATACATCCGGGATCCTTAGACTGCCCAGGTGTTCTAACAGAGACCCATGTTCAGGGGGTCTGAGTTGGTCAATGCTGGATTCCCTGCTATTAGTCTGAGGGCCCATTAGCTCCTCCCTGTCAGGTCAGACATCTCTGTTGGTTTCTGTAGCCTGGTCTTGTGTTCCTCTCTGCACATGGATTTCAGTTAGGCTCATTGTTTAGCTGTGTGTGTCTGCTTCTGTTTCCATCAGCTACTAGAAGAGGGCTCTATGATGGTGGATAAGTTAGTCATCAATCTCATTATCAGGGAAGGGCATTTAAGGTAGCCTTCCCACTGTTGCTCAAAATGTTAGTTGGGGTCATCTTTGTAGGGCTCTGGACATATCTCTAGAGTCAGTTTTCTCTTCAAACCAATAATGCCTCCCTCTTTTATGGTTTCTCTCTCTCTCTCTCTCTCTCTCTCTCTCTCTCCCCCTCCCTCCCTCCCTCCCTCTCTCTCTCTCTCTCTCTCTCTCTCTCTCTCTCTCTCTTTGGTCTCATCTATTCCTCCCCTGACTCAATCTTCCTAGTCCAATGTGCTTTCTTCTCCTCCCGTTCTCTTTCTTTTAGCTCCCTCTCCATTCAAGCCCACGTCCCTCCCAATATGCTCAGGAGATCTTGTTCTTTTCCCCTTTTATGTGTGAGGAATCTTATATGAATATCTTAGGTTCATCCTTCTATCCTAGTTGAGCTGGTGGTGTAAATTATAGGCTGGTGATCCTTTGCTCTACATCTAACATCCATATATGAGTGAGTACATACCATGTTGCTCTTTTTGTGACTGGTTACCTCAAGTTTGGTTTCTTCAATTTCCATCCATTTGCCTGTGATTTTCAAGATTCCATTTTTCCCCCTGTAAAGTAATATTACATTGTGTGAATGTGCCACATTTTCTTTATCCATTCTTCAGTTGAGGGGCATCTAGGTTGCTTCCAGGTTCTTGCTATTACAAATAATGCTGCTATGAACATAGTTGAGCACATGTCTTTGGTGCATAGACATGGGTCTATCTGCAGTCTTCTATGCACTATCATCCAGTTGTGCTAGCAACATTTGTTGAAGATGCTTTCTTCCTCCCATTGTATACTTTTAGCTGTTTTGTCAAAAATCAGGTGTTCCTAGGTGTGTGGGTTAACATCAGGATTTTTTATTTGATTCCATTGGTCTACCTGTGTATTTTTGTGTCAATACCAGGCTGTTTTTAGGACTATAGCTCTATAGTAGAACTTGAAGTCTGGGATGGTGATGTCTGCTGAAGTTTCTGAAGTTTTGGATATCCTGGGTCATTTGTTTTTCCATTTAAAATTGATTATTATTCTTTCAAGGTAGTGAAGAATTGTGCTGGGATTTTGATGGGGATTGCATTGAAGCTGTAGGTTGCTTTTGGTAAGATAGCCATTTTTACCATGTTTATACTACCTATTCAAGAGCATAGGAGATCTTTCCATTTTCTGGTATCTTCTTTAATTTCTTTCTTTTAAGACACAAAGTTCTTGCTATAAGTCTTTCACTTGTTTGGGAAGTGTTACCCCTAGATACTTTATGTTGTTTGTGGCTATTGTAAAGGGTGATGTTTCTCTGATTTCTTTCTCAGCCTCTTTGTTGTCTGAATATAGTAGGACTACTGATTTTTTTAAGTTCATCTTGTATCCTGCTAGTTTGCTGAAGGTATTTATCAGCTGTAGGAATTCCCTGGTAGAGTGTTTTGTGTCGCTTATGTAAACTATCATATCATCTGCAAAGAGTGAAAATTTGACTTCTTTCTTTCCAATTTGTATCCACTTGATCCCCTTTTCTTGTATTATTGCTTTAGCTATCCAATAAAAAAAAATGGAGTACAGAGCTAAATAGAGAATTCTCGATCGAGGAATCTAAAATAGCTGAAAGATACACAGCCACTTGTACAACCACTTTGGAAATCAGTATATGGGTTCCTCAGGAAAATGGGAATCAATCTACCACAAGATCCAGCTATTTCATGCTTATGCATCTACCCATAAGATGCACAATCATGGAATAAAGACATCTGTCAACTGTATTTATAGCAGCCTTATTTGTAATAGCCAGAATCTGGAAACAACCAAATTGCCTCTCAACTGAAGAATGGATAAAGAAATTCAGTACATTTACACAATGGAATACTACTCAGCAGGAAAATGAATTGGAATCTTGAAATTTGCAGGCAAATGGATGTAACTAGAAGAAAAAATCCTGAGTGAGGTAACCCAGCCACAAAAATATGAACATGGTATGCACTCACTCATATATGGACTTTAGATTTAGAACAAAGGATTACTAGCCTACAATTCACACTGCCAGAGATGGCATGAAACAAGGAGAGCCCTAAGAGTTAAATACATGATGCCTCACAGAAGGGGAAAGGGACAAGATCTCCTGAGCAAATTGGGAGCTGGCGGTGGGTGGGGGTTGTAGAAGTTAGGTGAAAGAGAAGGGAAGAAAAGGAGAGAAGTGAAAATGAGGGCATGAAAATTGAATCAGGGGAAGAATAGAAAATAACAAGAATAGAGATGCTACAATAGAGGTAGTTATTATCAGTGTAAAGAAAAATCTCACAGTAGGGAAATGTCCAGAGACCGACAAGGATGACTCTAACTCACAATCTAAGCAACAGTGGAGAGGCTTCTTTAAATGCCCTTCCATGATAATGAGATTGATGACTACCCTATATGCCATTCTAGAGCCCTCATTAAGTACTAATGGCAGCAGAAGGAGATACCCATAGCTGACCACTGCGACCAACTCCTGGAATCCAGTTGCAGAGAGTAAGAAATGATGAGCAAAGTGTTTAAGATCGAGCTGGAGAAACCCATTGGAACAGCTGATCTGAATAAGGGGAAACTTATGGACACCAGACTGATATTGGTAAACCAGCATAAGATTGGCCCTGATCCCCTGAATGTGTGCCTTAATTAGAAGGCCTGGGAAGTTTATGAGTCCTTATCCAGTAGCTGAGGGAAACAGAAGCAGAGATCCACAGCTAAGCACTGAACTGATCCCCTGGGAATCCAGTTGTAGAGATGTAGGAGTGATGAGCAGAGGATATGAGACCATGCTGGAGAAACCCACAGAAACTGCTGACCTGAACAAGTGGGGGCTCGTGGACTCCAGTCTGACAGCAGAGGAAACAGCATAAGGTAGAACCAGGCTCCATGAGTGTGG